GGGGGGGGGGCTGCCTAGACTTCTAATAGTCTCCTAACTGGTGTTTCTGCATCCAGTTATGACCTTTTTAGGTCTATGCTTAACATGCCATAGTGCTAGAAAATGATTCTAGAAAGTCTTTTAATTTAACAAGCAGGAAGGGGAGGTGAGAGGCAATTCAATCAGAAGGAACAGCATAAATAAAACTTACATCTTGGGTGAGTATAATGTGGAATGGAGCCCTGGGTGTGCAGTCAATTGTGTGTTGCGCTGTCAACCCCAAGATCAGCAGTTTGAAACCACGTGCTGCTTCACAGGAGAAAGATGAGGCTTTCTGCTCCTGAAGAGTTGTAGGCCCGGAAACCCAAAGGGGACAGAGCTCTACTCTGCCATATAGGGCTGTGATGGGTTGAAATCTACTCGTTGACAGTGTGTTTGACTTTGGTTGGCAAAATGGAAACAGGCAAGTCAGGATGGTTAGAAAACTGTGTGGGTACGTGATGAACAATACAGTGGAAAGAGTACCATGCAGGATGAGCTTAATGATCTTTTTAAGTTTCAAACCATAATTTTGTTTCCTACTGATTTTCAAATGCCGAGTCAACCAAGAATCTGCTGTCATAGACAATATTCAGAAGGGGAAAATATAATACAGCTCTGAAAGAATCACTTATGCAACAATTATTGAACAAATCATGTTTATATTAATGGCAAGTGCCAAGATCCTCAATGCAGTGATTGTTGACTGGCAATTATTTCAGGAACATAACAATGCCCTGAAATATAAAGAATTCTTGGAACCAGAAACATTAATTAACCCCTTTTCTTTCAAAAATCCCACCTCAAAAGTCACTTGTTCCCTGGACCTTTCCCTACTAACTGGACATCATCTACTTTTTTGATAGCTTCTCACAACCCTTTCTCTTCTCTTGACTCATACTCTTTTCACTGTGACTGTCACGCCATCATGTTGACCATCTGTAAATTCTATTGCCTAGGCTTTCTCTCAACTGTGAATAATCTTAACTCAGCAAGTTATCACACTTACTTATGCCCTGATGAACTGGTCTACAACAAAGGAGAAACGATCCTGGGAAGACAAACCTCCTCTTACTTGGTAGCTTTAGCTAGCCGCGGCCAAGAAGGAACCTGAGAGTTCTAAGAATGGGATGCAGGCGCCACCTTTGGTTGCAGTACTATTTCCCATTCCTAAGGGTCAGCTGTGTACACCTTCCTGTATTTAAAGCAATTTTCTAATGACGCACTGAAATTCTAAAACAAGCGACTGAAAGGTCTCAGCAGCAGCAACAGCATTATACTGTAGATGTAAACGCCAATGTCGGGTTTCAGAGTAGGGAAACCAGACAACACTGACCAGTGTTCATGTGGCCACTCACCTGTCGAATGGACATGGTACAGAGAATATAGAGGAAGATGAAGGAACAGTCAGTGGTGTCGTCCCCCAGCAGGTTCCGATGAGACAGCCCTTGGATGTAGGAAAGGGGGGTAAAAGGGAGCTTTGCCACCACCCGACCATCAAATCTAAAAAGGAAAAAACAAATCATTGTTATTTTTGGAAGATTGACAGGCTTCTTACTTCCAGAGTAGAATCTGGGCCCAAAATAGAGCTTAAATCTCTTGATCTCAGAAGAAAAAAAAGAAAAAAGGTAATATGCTATAAAGAGATCTAAAGTAAAAGGAAGGGCCTAGTTATTCCCATCAATCTTTTTATAAACTGGTAGTTCTTGGGGTTTTTTGGTATCAGGACACATTTACATTCTAAACTATTACAGGGGAGTGGGGGGGCACTGCTCCCTAGACGGCTTTTCTTTACATGAGTTTATCAATCTTTAGCATATTTGGAATTAAAACTATGAAATATTAAAACACTATTACATTTTTTTTAAGTAGTAGGAAGAGAGGCATGGTTTTGCATAGCTCTTTATTTTTATTTATTTATTTATTGCCACCAACATTTAACTTTTTAATTATACAATCATATTTTTCACAAGAAAACTTAAGGCAAATCAGTCAAGGGACCAAGAGTAAATTTTGTTTGGTGATCTCATTAATATTATCTGCTCAGCAGGCCAAGTACTGGTTATGAGCCTGGTCTATAGAGTTCATAGCTCTTTAATGTTTGACAGAAAACAACTGAATTCTCATAGCTGCTTTAGCATTCAGTCTGTTACAATACCACACATCATAAAGTCTCTGGGAAACTCCACCAGGTAGTCATGATAGAATGAGAGTAAAAAAGATAAATAACACTTTACAATTATTGTGAAAATAGTTTTGACCCCAAGACATTCTGAAAGGGTCTCAGAGATCCTCAGGGATCTCCAAGATACACTTACCCTTCTAAAGCATGTTATCAGTAAGGCTTTATAGGCTACACTTTGCTGAGCAGGGATTAGTGGAATATGCAATGGTGATGAAAACAAACAAACTATTAAATGGTATACACAGTGTGATCTAAATTTTTCTAAAACAAAAGTTAAGGGAAAAACTAGAAGAAAACATGCATCAGTGTCTGCTGAGATGCCAGGAAGATAAGCATTTAAAAAATACTTTTCTATGAGTAAGTTGTAAAACCAGACAGATGAAAATGATAAAGTTAATATACTTATGGGCAGGGATACAAATTTAAACTATAATACTACAGAAAAATATGCCAGAATCAGCTAAATTACTGTATAAATAAAGCCTTGAATTCCAGTTAAAACAGAAAAGTCCCTCTTTGGAAGCCACTTAGTATTGCGGGTGTTTCTAAGTGGGAAAGGTAGAAAGGGAGACTGGAGCACCTCTTTTTTCTGCAGCAAAAAATAAATAAAAACAAAAACTCTAGATGTCCAGCACAATCACTATGGTCCTTAAAAGCTTCTTGTTCTATTATACTCCAAATAATATATTTTGTTTGCTGTTTTTTTTAACTCCAAATAATATTAAAACAGACAATTTGATACCTTCTGTATGTATGACTTCCACTTAATTGTTCCATGTCCTCCTAGTATATATTTACTGAGGGAATAGCTCAAAAAATGAGGAACTGGTATTTAACAATATATATTTAAAGATCTACTTGAGGTAAACCCATTATTCTTTCCTTTCTACTAATGTCAAATAAGAAAAACCAAACCCAAGTTGCTACTTACCAAAGTAGGATGTTGAACACTGTCTTTAGGGGTTGTGTTTTGCTAAATAACCTTAATGTCCTCTGGTACTACGGTCCTGAGCCTGCAGGTCCAGTGACTCTCTCTCTCAAAGGATTTGGTGATGGCTAAAAACTTTTCATAGCTGTGTCTTCTGTATGTCTACTATACTCATGGAAAAACTGGTAACACACACACACAATATCCTCTCACATATATAGTCAGGAGGGTAGTCTATATCGTTTGTACATAGTTCAGTTTAGTGAACAGCAGTTAGGATTTTAAAAGCTCGAGCGAGGCCATCTACTGTGTAACTATGGGTCTCTCTCTGAGTGAAGAAGTCAAGGATACATGGACATGATCTAAAAGACATATGGAGCACATACACACCAGCCTCTATGACTCTGACACCAGAAGGCCTACAGGGGCTCAGCTACACTGCTGAGCATTCTGAAAAGATTGCACCAGGAAGTCATTCATGATGTGGCCTGGAAATGTGGAGCAAAACTCAAAACGGCAAAAAGACCAGGCACGCTGTCTGAGCAATATGGCTTGGAACAAAACTAAACTCCATGGCTCAACTTTTAGCCAATAATGGACAGGCCTCTAGAGTGAACAATAACAGCAGGGAGGTATAACCTCCTCAGAACAGTCATATTGAAAGGGCAGCATCTGGTCAGGATGGGAAGGAAGGGATAGGAAAGAAGGCCCAATGGAAACAGCAAAGATAGGGAGGAAGTGGGAAGAGTACTGTAGGTTGTAGGGATTGCAATCAACGTTCCCAATCAAACAGTGTACATATGAACTGTGGAATAGAAAACCAATTTGAAATGTTACTCAAATCAAAATTAACTGTTTTTTTTTTTTAAGGGAAAGCAAAATTAATTTTTTTTCTGGGAGGAAAAGTATTTAATTAAATGAATATAAAATGTAATATTCATAAAAAGAATTAAGTAAATTTGTCCCAATATTTTCTGATCATATTCTCTACACAGCAAGCTGTCTAGGTCTGTCACGTGACTGTTTGCCTGTAGTTAGCCCATGAGACAGAGTCAAAGATGTTTACATTTCTGTAACACGCTTTAGCATACACACCCAACAGATTCATGTTTTATAGTCATTTTATTCCCTGAAATTTTCAACTAGAGATTGTAATAAAAAAGAAAACCTTTCATGTCCCATGGGTTATTCAATTAACAATGAAATCTCACACCAGTATTTTCAGACTTCACAGGGTTCCTACTGTCACTGAATTGCTGTGTTCCAGGGGATGAGAAGTTTGTCACATAAGGAATACTTGAGTCCCTTCTGAGTTAAAAGGCTAGGATGAAAAGAAGGAAGACGCCCAGAGAAAGATGGCTTTACTATAGTCATATTAGTTCTGCTGATGGATACACTTATTCTCGGTAATCACAGAGGGGAGAAACACACTAGTAATGAGTTAGAGGCATAGGGAAGCATATTTTGACCTATATAATACAATTACTTTTAAATCTCAAAAGCTATTCAATAAAAAGTATGAATTATCTCAGAAACCATTAAGCTCTTCATGTTGGGAGTAATTATCAGAGGATAAGAAATTACCTGCTAGGCATATTACTGAAAAAATTTCTGTACTAAGAGAGTAGTTCTGTGTTAAGTGACTTTTAAGAGCTCTTGTAATTCTAACATTCTGTTATTTTTGTTTTATAAAAACGATTCAGGAAGAAAAGCCAAAGAGATATAAATAGCTATAGGCAGTACCTCCTTTTTCTTCTCTGACCTCAAGTCCTGGAACTCAAGTCCTTCCCTTCTTAGTTAAATCTTGGGCTTTTGTAAAAAGCACCTGCCAGTTTCCAATTAATTTTTACACTAAAAGGGATTTTAGAGATTGTCTATTTCAATCAATGACAGATGATCACATTGAAACTTAGGGAACTTAAAGACTGAATAAATTTTATGCAGTGTAGTCAAAATATGGATCAGAATTCTAATTTCATATGGCAGTTTCCAGAAATAGAAACAGAGCCCTTAACTTCTAGCTGCTGACAACCTACACACACAATATTAATTTTTTTAATGTAAAGGAATCAAAGATTGGAACGTTTAAATATGGAGTAAAACACTATATAAAGCTTCATCTATGTTGGTCAGTTAAACAAAACAAGCAAATTAAAATCTACTGTTAGTGAATACTCTTGAGTAAGAAATTTTAAAAATACACTTAAAAATAGAGAAAAGGTTTTTTCTTACTGTCAGTAGTTGTCTTTTAGAAGAAAAGCACAATAATAAAAATTCACAGGAACCAATTACAAGGACCTACATGTGACCTCCTCCCTGGGGGACGGACAACAGAAAAGTGGGTGAAGGGAGATGTTGGACAGGGCAAGATATGACAAAATAATATTTTATAAATTATCAAGGGCTCATGAGGGAGGGGGGAGGGGGGAGGGAGGGGAAAAATGAGGACCTGATGCCAGGGGCTTAAGTGGAGAGGAAATGTTTTGAGAATAAAGACGGCAATGAATGTACAAATGTGCTTTACATAATTGATGTATGTATGGATGGTGATAAGAGTTGTATGAGCCCCTAATAAAACGATTTTAAAAATTCACATATCATTTTCCTTCTGATACCTCCTATTAGGCATCTAAAGTATAGAATACTTAGAACATTAAAAATTAAAGCAAACAAAAAACTTGAAAGATCATTTATCTTGCATTTATAGAACTGCATAATTTAATCACTTTCCTTCTAGGAGCCTGTACTAAAATTCTCCAACACTGCCTCTATGTCTAACCAGAGTAAATCTTTCTCTTGGTAAAAAACAAAACCCTAATTCTGGTAACATAAAGATGGGGGGACAAATGGGTGACTAAATTTACATAGGTAGAATGAGCAGCAACTGTTAACTGATGAAATTGGGATTGAAAGCAAGTATCAGAGGTAACTTAATGCCTAGAATTGGGAGAAGCACGGGCTTTTTACTCCCATAAAAAGTTACCGTCTTGGAAACCCACAGGAGCACTTCCAGCCTGCCCTAAGGTCACTCTGAGTTAGAACTGATGTGTGGCAGTGAGTAAGTGCCTAGAATTAAATGTAGGACAGGCTAAATAACAAATGTTTGCTAAAAGGAAGGAACACAGAGAGGGAAGGAAACAATCAAGGTTTCAATTTAAGAGAACAGAGTTGGGGGATCCTGAAAGACCCTCAAATCTAAGGGCTAAGTGCTGCTTTGGAGGCACCACATGGAGTTCCCAGTGAGTCTCTACATAATGCAAGAAACAGAAAGCCTTGCAAGGCTCAGGGGTGGGCTGCAGCCTAGAACCCGAGACCAAAGTAAAATACAAAGGAGGCAGGGGTTGCTACAGAACTACTCCTTTTTAAAAAAAGATCTCTGTAATGGACCTT